AGCCGGAGCAGGAGACGGAGCCGGAGACCAGGGCATGAAACTGGAGCCCCTCCACACCCCCAGCAGTTACTTTGTGTGCTGGAAACATTTTATAAAACATTTATTTGCTTGATTCCTAGCCTCATTTCCGCCAGACATTTCGCACCCATTTCGCTAAAGCCTCCTGCCCCCCCCATACGGCACCTCCTACCCCTCCACGATTCCGGAGAATTGCGGCAAAGATATATTTTGTCTGCTCGGTCCCGGTCTCGGTCCCGGCACCCGCCCCGTATGGCCCATAATGAGGCCATAAAAGGGGTTAAATAAAATGTGCAGCAATTGCTTTGTGAAGCCAACACGACGGGGTAAGAGTACGGACGGGGCTCCACCGCCCCCTCCATTAGATCCGACCACTGACAGCGAAAATTTGCCCGATTTTCGCGCCGTTGCCTTAAGAATTATCGACGTCTTTTTTATTTGGTCGGGTGGAATGTCAGAAGAGGCGTTGGCCCAGCAGCGACGGGAACGGCGGGGTCTGGTTTGGTTGGAAATTACAGCTTGTAGCTACAAATTGCTTCCGTTGCAGGCAGCCAGGCAGGCAGGCAGGCAGGCACTTGGAGGAGGCTCTTTAGAGCTCTAAAGAGGAAGAGAGCACGCGGGAGAGAGTGTTGGGTGGGGTTGGGGGAGTGCAGCCGAAAATAGACACATCAATGAAATTTATTAGTTTGCATGTGCAAGTGCAGCTGGCTGGCTGGCGGTTAGCAGCGGTTGGCAGTGGTCGGGATTTTCCATTTCCCGCCGGACTAAGGTCTAATTCCTTGCTGCCTCGTAAATCCCATAGATTCTCCGTCAGTTGCTCCAACGCCCCCCCACTCTCTCTCCCCCTCTCTCTCTCTCGTTAGCGGATGTAAATTGCCGCTAATTTGCTTGCTACACCGAAATTAATACAAGGAAACTCAAATAAAAGTCAGCCCTAGGGGAAAGGCCCCCTTTTTGATGAATGATGAATACGGAAAGAGTGTGGATTGCATTTTTTAAATTTTCGTAATTTAAAAGGAATGGTAAAAGTGTGCTGGAAAATGCATTACTTAATGGATTACGCTTAATTATAAATATCGATTTATCGATATATTCGATATACATATAAAATTCTTTTTAAAATATTTAAAATAAATACCTGAATTTAAAACGAAATGCAATAGAATTTAACACGAATTTAATGCATTTTATTTGCAATTTTCTTGGTTCAAAAAGTGTCGAACCTTAACGATAACTCTCTCTTCAATCGATAATTAATTTAAGCACTTTCGATAGGCCATTCTATATTTACTACAATCTATTCTGTGGATTCTTTGCTCGTGTTCCTGAGTAGATTTATGTTATGTCATATTCGGCGCTTCCTTTGTAGATCGGCGCAATTTTCCATGAAAACGTAATTCTAATTAATTCCCCATGGAACTACTCATACTCGTGTACTCGTACGCCGTAGCCTTTTCTTGTCGGTCCGTTGATTGCATATGTAAATATAACACATCGTTTCATTCGCTTCAATTTAGCGGAGTATAATGCCCGATGCATACGATTCGCTTTGATGTGCCCCGCTCGCGCCATCCTTTCACACTTTTATGGGTTTATGATGCGCCCCATCTGAGCGACAAATGCAACGAAACGAAACGGAATGGAATGGAACATCAAGTTACGTTTCACGTTTCATTCCTAGGGTATGCGGTAGAGAGAGACCGCCACATGCAGTCTGCAGTTTGTCCGCCGCCCTCTCATTACCTTTTCGGTGCAGTGTGTGTCTCGTCTCGCTTTTACGATGCCTCAAATAGTGTGATAATTAGGTGAACAGACGTCTGCCAACGTGCGTGTCCGTCCGTCGGTGCAACATCAAAGTGAACACACAACACACAAACGACTCGACTCGACTCGACTCCGACCCCTGCCCCATGGTGGCACTGTCCAAAATAATGTGGGCGTGTGCTTCGTGTTTCAGCCTCTGATGGGATGGTGGGATGGTGGGACTCGAGGAAACTACTCGCACAAGTATGACGAATTCCCAGAACTATTTGTTATGTCAGTTTACAATTGTTGGAACATATTCCGCGGAACCATAACAATCTGCTCTCTGCTCGTGTGTTTAGTATTTGACTAGGCGTCGACAACTCGGATGTGTGCACACTGATTGCGTCCGCTCGTCCATGTGTGCACACTAGCGCACAAGTCTACAAATGTTTGATTATTCTGTTTGGATTTATCTTTAATTTCAAGGCGATTCAGACGAAGAAAGCGGTGGATAAAGGTTGCAAGTCCCCCCAGTACCAATCATTCAAAGGGAAAATATTTTCTTATGTTAAATACCAAAAATAAATAATTAAATAGAAAATTAAATTTTAGGGAATGTTTAAATAAAAATAAATAAGAAAATTTGTTTTTAGGGAATTTAAAAACAAAAAATTAACTATAATATTTTGTTATTTAATTTACAATAATATTTATTTTTTAAGGAATGTTTAAATTCAAAATAAATAAGAACATTTATTTTTAGGGAATTTAAAAACTAAAAATAAATAATAATATTAATTACTTTTAGGGAGTACTTAAATTCAAAATAAATAATTAAATTGATTTTTAGGGAAATTTTTATTCGATATTTTTTCTTTTAACTGTGATCTATTTTTATTTATTTTTAATTTATTTTTAGGGAATTTAAAAACTAAAAATAAATAATAATATTTATTTTATATATAATTTTTTTTAATAATATTTATTTTTAGGGAGTGTTTAAATTCAAAATAAATAATAAAATTGATTTTTAGGCAAGTTTATTCAATATATATATTAAATTGTGATCTATATTTTATCCTAGAGACTGTAGACTGTAGACTGTAGACTTCATCCATACCAAATCTCCAAATATCGCTTATCAAAGTTTGGGTAGTTCCATATCCGTTAAGGCCTGTTCTTTATGCATTTTTCCCAGCCAGCACTCAATCTCAACCTCAACCTTAACCATTTACAGACGTATTTAATGTACGATTTTGAATGGGATTTCTCCAGCTAAAGTTCATCCTTCAGCTGAAACCACTTGAGCAGGGAGTAGGTCAAAGAATGAAGAGAAGGTCTGGGGCCATATTTGGTGGGTCTCGACTCCTCCACCTGTTGCTAGTTGCCACCGTTTTGTGCAAAAACCACAAAAAAAAACACACACAAAATGTTGCAGGTCAAAGCGATTCCAAGCGCCAACGGGGTGGGGGAACGGGGGAACGGCGGGGATACGTGACAGCTAATGGCGATGCCCGGCAACAGTTTGCAACTTGTTTGTTTCCCCCTCCCACTGACTGTGCCCCTTGCAACTTGCGATCTCGACGGGATCTCTGTGTGGCGCTGCGGACACATGTTGCATGGGTCGTCCGTCTATGTCTCTGTCTCTGGCTCTGTCTCTGGCTGGTTGCATGCGGCGGCTTGTCGCTGATTAGCATCGGCATCTCGCCATCGTTGCCATCGTTGCCATCGCCACTCGTGTCAGAGCTCTGTGCAGATAAGCTCCTCCACCGGAGATTCGACTTGCCCCCTCGACTCGAATCTCGCATCTCGCATCGATGCCACAAATCATTGCCAAACATGATTTCTTATTATGCCACAACTCGCATCGAATCGAATCGAAGGTGTGGCTGTGGCTGGTGTGGAATGTGTGTTTTTCATTTCGGTATAAACTTGTTATTTCTGATTTAAATGCATGTAATTTTAATTATAATTAATTAGCTATTTATTTATTGTGATTTATTTAGCAGGATGCTTGCTCCATTGCCAGCTGTACTTGCAGTTATTTAGCCAAAAGATTTATGGCATAAAAGTTTAACCAAGAGGTACCAGCAGGTGTCTGTCTGTTAGGAAATGGAAACACCAATATAATTTATATGATTGGCATTAAAATGGCTTTATATTTATATTTATATTATTTATATTATTATTATATATTTTTTATTTATTTTCTTATTTTTTTTTTTATATATTTTTTATTTTTATTGTATTCTTTTATAATGCCGGAAATATTTTATATATCTATTCTTACTTTTTTTCACGCAACATTTATGTAGCTTCTAAATCGAATTCCAAATGTTCAAAAAGCCATTTAAATATCTTTACAAGCAATTAATATTTTTTTTTGTGGGTTATGTGAAAGTTTCTACACAAAAACGAAGATCTTAACAAATCAGAGATCCCCTCAGAGATCTCCTCAGAGATATTTCCCCCCAGACAGACAGACAGACGGAGACACGCACTTAAGTAAATATATCAATTTCGTTGATAAACCCAAAACGAGAGAATAAAAAAGCTTCCTGCTGCGATCTGCCCCCACTAATCCCCTATCTATCTGTGCACCCCTCTGTCCCTGCGCTGCCCCTGTCCTTGTCCCTGCCCCTCTCTGCCCATTTGACCGACAGCGCAGAGGCGTCTCATTAGCTGCTGCATTCGATGAGGCCGAACAAGCCACTTAATTTAAATTTAAATGTTTACTTCTCGCTTTGCGTGTCCGCCAGTTATTTCTGTGTGTGTGTGTGTGTGTGTGTGGGGGCCAAAGTATTTTGTCTTCGTTGCGTTTTTGGTCCCCATACCCCACACTCCTTTCGTATCCCCTCCCCCGCCCAGAACCTGTCTGCTGTGTCACGGAGATGGCAAGAGATTTATTTTCGGTATTTCCATGGGCGACTAAAATGCGCTGTCAGCGCAGCAGTTGCGGCCATACGTTGTGCCACAGCCACAGTCCCAGCCAGCGAGCCAGCCAGCCAGCCAGCCTGCCACACAGAGCCGAGCGACGGCTACATTAGCATCGGGGGCAACAGTGATGGTGGTCTCCTTGGAGACCCACAGCGAGAAAGAGAGAGAGAGACAGGGGTGGGGTGGGGGGGAGAGCAGCACTTGACACCCCAAATTGATGCACAACTTGCCGCCCCGAGACCGTGCCACATTAATTAGGCAAAATATTGACATGCTGATGTGTGGTGTTGGCTATTGATTTATGCATTTGCATCTCTCTGTCTCTGGCTATGGAGAATTTTATTGGATTATTTTCAATGGGATTTTCAATGGGATTTTCAATGGGATTATTTCGTGTGTGTGTGTGTGTGGCATGTGCGGTGGGTAGGGGGCGATCTATGGGTTTGTCTTGAGCAGCATTATGGATGAACTGCTGCTGGCTGATAGCTTTTTGCACTTGCCCCTCTTGCCGCAAGTGTTGAACGGACTCAGGCGCAGCATCATCTGCAGCAGAGCACCCCAACGGGCGCGTCCTAGAAATCAGATAAAGCTTCGGTTTAGGCTACATTAAGAACTGTTCCCCCGACACACAGACGCATGCCCCAATTTTGTATTCTTACCATACTTTTGCTTGCTGCAATTCCTTTGCGTATTTACCACTTCCAAAAGTTGCTCAGCATCAAACTGCGAATCATTGGAGGCGGGTACCTTTAAGGCCGAATCGCTGGACCCCTTTGAGGCCGAATCGCTGGACACCTTTGAGGCCGAATCGCTGGACACCTTTGAAAGCCGAATCATTGAACACCTTGGAAGCCGAATCATTGATCCCCTTTGAGGTCGAATCGCTGGACTCCTTGGAGCTCTGTTTGCTCACCATGGACAGCTTTTCGCACTCGGTTAGATCCGCAGAACTTGCCGTGGACTGCTTCAGACGGAACCACGACTGCTGCAGCACATTGGCCTCTTCGATGAACTTTTCATAGCGCTTGAGCAGTCGCCGCACATCCACATTCATCAGCTCCTCGGGCACCTCGGGCACCTCATGCACACTGCTCAACTGCTGCGATGTGGCGATCTTGCGCAGATCCTCGAAGCGTTGTATTAGCCTTTTGATATTAACGTGGCCCGAATTCGTGCTGGAAGTGCCTTGCCTGGGTGGACCCAGGAAGGCCTCACCCACAGCCGTGGAGCTCATACGGATGAGCATGTCGGCGGTGTGCTCCATGAAGGCGGCCTGACGCTCGCGCAACTCGCGCAGTCGCGTCTTCAGCTCGGCCAGGTACGCCAGCTCGCTGGCTGTTGGCGGCTGCTTGCTAGCCATTTTCTCAGTGTGTGGTGGGTGTTGGTTAAGGGGCAGGGCACCAATCAGCAGCACCTGGTTCCAGCAACATATATAATAGAGAATTTGTTTGGGTTTGGGTTTTTATATTTGTTGAGTTTGAAGGGAAAAGAAAGGCAAACGTTTGCTCACTGACTGGAAGTGCCTTTTGCTGTGAGGGTATCTGCTGTTCGTTGCAAATAATCCGCCTGTCGTTTTTGGCCTATTACTCGTTATTTTTATGAGCCTCAAATTGAGATATCGCATGCGGCTCCAGCGGGTTCCTAACTAAGTTGTAACCCTCCCGCCGCAGCTCTTTGGGTGGGGGGCGCAAACAATGGTTAGGAGAGGGGTACGACGACTTACCCACCTCTATATATATATATATATATATCTTTAGTTTAGCCTTTTATTCGTTTGGGTGTGGGGTGTGTGGAGGGGGGGTTTGGGGGATTTGGTTTGGAATTTCACGAGCTAAAACGTGCCGCTGCCAACGGCTGACGCCTACAATGAGGAAAAGATGGGCGTGACTGCTGTTGATTTCACCTGAAGGGGTACTACAGTACTCCCTCCCTCCCTCCCTCCTCTGCTGCTGCTGCTGCTCCTCCATCAGTTGCAGATCTGCAATCCCACCTCCTTTCGATCCCACCTCCTCCTTCTGGACTCGATGTGTGCAATGCAATTGTTGTTTTCATATTTTTAATGCCTTTTTGAGTTGGTAGGCGTGCTACGACACGATTCTTTGCCCCGATAAGCTGTTATTTTTATGGCCCCGCCGAATCGGATCGACGCGGATCGGCGGAGTGCCTGGCCACTTGGCAGGGGTGTGGTGTGTGTGGGGGGGAGCACCTCGGTGTGGTGTGGGCTGGCTGCCGACTTAAAGAAGTTGAAATTATTACACCGCAATTGTCTTGATCGTTGATTTATGTGCGCTTTTGTTGTCGGGGCTCTTTGGCTGGCTTGGCTGGCTTGGCTGTTTGGCTTTCGGCTCTCGGCACTCTCAGATCTGCTGCATACATATATTTCTTGGTAGTTGAGTTTTGGGCCAAGAGGCAAATTTGTGTGGCTGTTGATATTTATTAGGCACACGGCTCTCGGGCCCCCAGTCCCAGTCCCAGCCCCAGCTCCGGTCCGGTCCGGGAACCACTGGCATCAATTGTGCATGCAATATGGGAAGTTGATTATGCCTCTCATTAGCCACCGCTTTTTTTCAGCCTTTTTTTCCCCAGCTTCGCTTTGTTTTTTTTCGGGATTTTTTGCATAAAAAGTGAAGACGATTCCCATGGGTTTTCTGGGCTGAGGGGAGTGTCGATTTTTTGTTTGGAATAATTAAAAAATAATAAAATATATATAAATAGAAATAATAGAATAAAAAAATTAAAATAAATTTTAAAAATATGTGGCAGATACAGAGAATTGCATACAGATTGTTTATCTTTTTTTAAAATAATTATTTTTATTATTGGAACTAAAATAAATAGAAATAGAAATAATAGAACAAAATAATAAAAATAAATTTTTTAAATATGTGGGAGATAGAGAGATTATATAAGGGGTTTTATTTTTTTTTTTCCTATAATTAGAACTAAAACTAAAATAAATAGAAATAATAGAATAAATTAATAAACATAAAAAAATACAAAAATAAATAAAATAAAATTATTAAATATGTGTCAGATTCAAAAAATTGTGTACAGGTTTTTTCTCTTCTTTTTAATAATTATTTTTATTATTAGAAATAATATTTGAAAGAATTTCATCCTGTCAGTAATTAATGTGCGGTGCAGTAGCAATTATTTGTATTTTGTATTTTATTTCATGCTCTATCCTAACGGTACAAGTAGAGACTTATTTTTATTGCGCTAGTCACTCGGTAGCAATTTTCTATAGAGACATTTCTTAGACTCTTGAATTTAGCTAATACATCAGAAATTTCTTTACTTTTAAATTATTTTCCACTGCTTAAATATTTATCATTATTTTCTCTCCGAATTCCCCCTGCGTTTTGTTGCTAATTGAGTTCTTATTTGCCGGCCTGGGACTTACCGCCTTTCCTCAGTTGTTCAGTGAATGTCATAACAGAGCCAGCCACAGCAAATCTCATCTCACCTCGACCCAACCCCGAAACTCAGACCCAATTCCAATACAAAAATTCGCAGACCATTGTGCGGTGCGGCTTGGACACGATTAAAGGCTGGCACTGGCACTGGCACAGGCACAGGCAAAGGCCTTTTCCGTTTCCCAGCCGATTGCCTGAAAACTTAATGATTTCATCTTTCATTGAATTCAAATTTGTTGCCCCCCCTGCGCACCCTCCCATTTGGGGGGACCCCAAGTGCGAGACTTGCAGCTGTGCAGAGAGCACGATGTTGGATGTTGGTCTGTTGGATTGTTGAATGCTGAATGTGGGCGTGCCTTCATCATACGCCCCTAGAGTTATTGTCGCTGGGGCATGGGAATGGGGCAGACAGAGACAGGGCTGTTGATAGCCAACGCCGCTGCCGCCGCTGCCGCGGAGAGAGACTCTGAATATAACGAATTTATTATTTATTTCACCTGACAGCATGGGCAACAGACTCTATAAATTTCCCTAGCCACTCGATGGCCACTCTGTTGGCTCTGACTGTGGCTCTGACTCTGGCTGTGTGCCTGCCTGCCTGCTCCCTACCCTCCCCCTCCACTGGCTCTGACTCTGGAGTCAGTCCGGGAATCATATTTATGGGGCCCCATCTGTATCTCTCTCTGTCTCTCTCTCTCTCTGGCGCTGCGCATATGAAAATGAAATTATTGATAAGGCAGCTATGAGGCTATACACACCATATATATCCCATACTGTATATCCCATACATATATCCCTTATATTTTATATGTATATTCGCTTTATTTTTTGTTGCAGCTCTGATTGAAATACCGCTTTCGTCTGGCACACGGCCAACAGCTTCATTTCGACAGCAGAGAAAATCCGACGCGATGCAACGCGGCGGCAACAAAGTTTATTGGCAACACACACAGCCAACACACAGCAGAGCCAACACACAGCGAAGGTAAGTGGAAGGTAAAACCTTAACCCAATATCCTGCTTATGGTCATAATTTTTGTGCTGCTTTCAAAGAACAAAAAAAAAAAATGAACAAAAAAGACCGCCTGGGCGCGCAACTTATTGCAGTTGTTGCCTCTGCCACATCCTCAACCATTCTCAGTGCCCAGCTCTACCATGCTCCCATCCTCCATCTCCTGCGAGCGATCCACACAGCCTCGGAGCTCGCAGCTTGCAGCTCGCAGCTCGGAGGAGCGTATTTCATTATGAATTGCTCTTAACGATGTTCCATTTTTCATGTGCGCATTCATAAACCTTTTTGCTTATTTTCGACTTGAAAGCGGATTGCTTGCTGGCTGTTTGTGTGTTTGCATTTTGTTGTTTTCCTTTTTTTCTTGTTGCCTGTTTCTGCGGTGGCCAGCAGAAGATTCTCCGCTGTCTGTCTGCCCCGACGTTCCGGCTTGCAAGTGAATGAATAATTGCACCAAGGTGTTGTAAGGGGAACTCTACTCTCTGCTTGCTGCTAGTCCCCCCTCGCCCACCTAGTTCTGCACACAGTGGACAGCAGGCAATTTCTTATGAATATTTTCAAAATTATTTCTACACTATTAATGCACTAAAAAATGCTAAGAAAATATTGTGCTAAATTTTAGAACACAGAAAATATTATTTAAATCAAATCATAGAATTTATTTAATTTTCTTTAAATTTAAAAACAAATTAATATTTAAATTAATTTCTTGTATTTTTATTTATTTTATGGACAGCAGGCAATATCTTATGAGTATTTTAAAATTATTTCCACACTTTTAATGCAGTACAAAATGCTAAGAAAATGGTGAGTAAAATTCTAGAAATATTTAAAGCACAGAAAATATTATTTAAATCGAATCACAAAAATTATTTAATTTTCTTTACATTTAAAAACAATTTAATATTTTCTATTATGATAAATATTATTTTAGGAAATATTTTTATTTATTTTATGGACAGCAGGCAATTTCTTATGAATATTTTAAAAATTAGTTCTACACTATTAATGCACCAAAAAATGCCAAGAAAATGGTCTGCAAAATTCTAGAAATATTTATAATACAGAAAATATATTTTATAAATCGAATCAGCATTTATTTAATTTTCTTTTCGCTTAAAAACAAATTAATATATTTAAATTAATCTTTCGATGATGATAAATATTATTATGGGAAATATTTTAACTAGTTTTTGGCTAAAGGTAATCTTTTAAATGCCAGTTAGAGGGCCCCTAGGGAGGTGGTCCTTTGCCTTTCCCCGCACCGTTGCAGAGGAAGTAAAAGGGTTTCCTTTTCGGATCGCTTCGGTGGTTCGGTACGGAGTTCGGTGGCTGTCAAAGGCACAGCGGGCCGTCGTAAAATCGCGGCAAACACAATTGAAAAACGGCCAACTACCAGTGTGACAGAGATGGCTATATGTGGCTATGGAAGGAGTAGAAGAGAGTGGTGAGGGTGATGGTGAGGGGCATCGTGAGTGAAGGAGTGCGGCGGCAAACACTCCACACTTGTCAGCAGGCCCCTCTCGTTTTATTCGTTTCGTTTCGTTTCGTTTCGTTTTGGCCATGGCCAAGTGGTGCACCACGTCCTATACGTATTGCTATTGCCCCTCCCCCACCCCTGCCGCTGTAGTGCTCTGGCGACCCCACTGGATGCCCGACTCACGGTCTCTTATGCTCACAAATCATAAATTGCCGCCTTAAAATTTATCTTCAATTTTCGAGACCCCATGTGGTGCTTAGCGAATGGTGTTTTGAAATTTATTGCTGCATTTGCAATAAATATTGTCAGTGGAGAGAGAGGGAGGGAGAGGTACCAGTACACAGCGCAAGAGGTAGAAGAGAGAGAGAGAGAGAGTGAGAGCGAAAGAGAGAGGGAATGGCGCGGCGTTTGCTTGCTTTTTGCATGATTGCCGCTGTAACGCCTCTGCCTACACTTTGGGACTGTCTCTCTCTCTCTCTCTCTCTCTCTCTCTCTGTCTGCCTGCCTTCTCTCGTGGCTCGCCTCTCGTGTCTCTGCCCCTTGGAATCCTGCTCCTGCTCCTCTTCCTGCGCCTCCTTCTTCGCCTTCTTCGATG